GACGAACCCAGAGGGTGCTCACCAATGCTTCCTCTTCATCTTGGAAAGAAGTGACGAGTGGAGTGCCGCAGGGTTCCGTCCTGGGCCCGGTCCTGTTCAACATCTTTATTAATGACTTAGATGAAGGGCTAGAAGGCAGGATCATCAAGTTTGCAGACGACACCAAATTGGGAGGGATAGCCAATACTCCAGAGGACAGGAGCAGGATTCAAAACCATCTTGACAGATTAGAGAGATGGGCCAAAACTAACAAAATGAAGTTCAACAGTGACAAATGCAAGATACTCCACTTTGGCAGGAAAAGCGAAATGCAAAGATACAGAATGGGGGATGCCTGGCTCGAGAGCAGTACGTGTGAAAAAGATCTTGGAGTCCTCGTGGACAACAAGTTAAACATGAGCCAACAATGTGATGTGGCGGCAAAAAAAGCCAATGGGATTTTGGCCTGCATCAATAGGAGCAGAGTGTCTAGATCTAGGGAAGTCATGCTACCCCTCTATTCTGCCTTGGTTAGACCACACCTGGAATATTGTGTCCAATTCTGGGCACCACAATTCAAGAGAGATATTGACAAGCTGGAATGTGTCCAGAGGAGGGCGACTAAAATGATCAAGGGTCTGGAGAACAAGCCCTATGAGGAGCGGCTTAAAGAGCTGGGCATGTTTAGCCTGAGGAAGAGAAGGCTGAGAGGAGATATGATAGCCATGTATAAATGTGAGAGGAAGCCACAGGGAGGAGGGAGCAAGCTTGTTTTCTGCTTCCCTGGAGACTAGGACGTGGAACAATGGCTTCAAACTACAAGAGGAGATTCCATCTGAACATGAGGAAGAACTTCCTGACTGTGAGAGCCGTTCAGCAATGGAACTCTCTGCCCTGGAGGGTGGTGGAGACTCCTTCTTTGGAAGCTTTTAAACAGTGGCTGGATGGCCATCTGTCAGGGGTGATTTGAATGCAATATTCCTGCTTCTTGGTAGAGGTTGGACTGGATGGCCCATGAGGTCTCTTCCAACTCTTTGATTCTATGATTCTATGATTAACGGTGAAATAACATAATACAAAGGTTATGGTGTTGGGGGAAAAGCCAGACAGACTGATTCATGATACTCAGACATAGTAGTTGCAAAGCAGTAAATACGTAGGAGGGCTTTGCAGGGGAACATGTCAGAGAGAAAACTCAAATCATGACGGCAAAATTCACGTCAACAAAGCCTCTGTGTGCAATTTCGTCTGGTACATCACAAAGTGAAGCCATTTGGTGGAAAGACTGTAGGCACAGTATTAAGTGGAAACGAAATATAGCAGGGAGGTAAGCATAGTTTAAAAAATATAAGATTAGAATCATAGAGCAAAGGGACATAAAGCATATTGGTTAAAACAAGAACCAGTAAATCAAAGATAAATCTGCTTTATAATTATTTTAAATGCAGGTTTTAACTGGACAGTTTAATTAATGCTTTTGAGACTTTTGTGCCACATTTATTTATTTATTTATTTACTAACCGTCCCCTGCCACGCGTTGCTGTGGTCCAATCTGGTGGTCATGGGAGTTCTGTGTGGGAGGTTTGGCCCAATTCTATCATTGGTGCTGTTCAGAATGCTCTGTGATTGTAGGTGAACTACAAATCCCAGCAACTACAACTCCCAAATGTCAAGATTCTATTTTCCCCAAACCCCACCAGTATTCACATATGGGCAAATTGAGGATTTGTGCCAAGTTTGGTCCAGATCCATCATTGTTTGAGTCCAAAGTGCTCTCTGGATGTAGGTGAACTACAACTCCCAAATTCAAGGTCAATGCCCACCAAACCCTTCTAGTATTTTCTGTTGGTCATGGGAGTTCTGTGTGCCAAGTTTGGCTCAATTCCATCATTGGTGGAGTTCAGAACGCTCTTTGATTGTAGGTGAACTATAAATCCCAGCAACTACAACTCCCAAATGACAAAAACATTTTTTTGAGTGAAGGGCATACATTGGGTTGTTAGGTGTCTTGTGTCCAAATTTGGTGTCAATTCGTTCCAGTGGGTTTTGAGTTCTGTTAATCCCACAAATGAACATTACATTTTTATTTATATAGATTGATTGATTGATTGATTGATTGATTGATTGATTTAGGTGGCGCTATCTGGAACTGCTTTAGCTACTTTAGGTTTCCTATTGGTATAAAGGTAGGATATAAATCAATCCCAATCAATCCAAAATCAAAGAAAGAAAGCATGAGGCCTAAAATATTTAATGGGATGGAGAGGATGAGAGCTCAGGTGTGACGTACTTGTGTTGTATGTACGAGGTAAAGGGTTCAACCCCTTTAGCATCTCCAGGTTGGGTTGGGAAAGAATCCTTTGGTGGGGATAAACTGAACTAGATGGATCAATGGCACAGAACCTGCAAATAATGTTTCTCCTTCTTCCTCTCTTTTGCAGATATGGATTCCACAGTAATGTGTCATCTTGAATTTATTGCTTATCATCTTGAATAAGTGAATGCTGACTTATTACCTACTAGATATTTGGTATTGGAAAAAGAATTGGGCTGCTGTGAGTTTTCCAGGTTGTATGGTCATGTTCCAGGAGCATTCTCTCCTGACATTTCATCCACATCTATGGCAGGCATCCTCAGAGGTTGTAAGGTCTGTTGGAAACTAGGCAAGGGAGGATTATATATCTGTGGAATAATGTCCAGGGTAGGAGGGAAAAAAACTCTTGTCTGTTTGAGGCAAGTGTGAATGTTGTAACTGGTCGCTGTGATTAGCATTTAATGGGCTTGCAACTTCAAAGCCTGACTGATTCCTGCCTGGGTGAATCATTTGTTGGGAGGTGTTAGCTGTCCCTGTTCATTAGAAACTAGGCAAAGGAGGTTTATATATCTGTGGAAGGGGCCTTGTAGCTTCAAGGCCTGGTTGATTCCTGCTTGGGGGAATCCTTTGTTTCAGAGTGTTGCTCTTTATTTACTGTCCTGATTTTAGAGTTTTTAAAATACTGGTAGCCAGATTCTGTTCATTTTCATGGTTCCCACCTTTTTGTTGAAATTGTCCACACAATTGTGAATTTCAGTCGCTTCTCTTTGTATTCTGACATGGTGGTTGTCAGAGTGGTCCAGTATTTCTGTGTTCCCAAATAATATGCTGTGTCCAGATTGGTTCATCTGGTGCTCTGCTATGGCTGACTTCTCTGGTTGAAGTAGTCTGCAGTGCCTTTCACATTCCTTGATTCGTGTTTGGGCATTGCTGGGTTCGGTGGTCTCTATGAAGAATTGTCAACAGCTGTATACAGTAACCCCTGCAGAGGTGAGAGGATCCCTTTTGTCCTTTGCTGAATGTAGTATTTCTGGATTTTCTTAGTGGGTCTGTAGATAGTTTGTAGGTTGTGTTAGATGTGGGTGAAATGTCAGAAGAGAGTGCTTCAGTAACATGGCTATACAGCCAGGAAAACTCACAGCAACCCAGTGATTCTGGCCAGGAAAGCCTTTGACAACACATAGAAAGGGAATTATTTACAGCATTATGCTCATCTCTGGCTTTTAAAAAAGCTGATGACAAACAGCAAATTTGTAGTTAGCAAACACTGAGTGAATCATGGCTCAACATCTAATCAGTTTTGTCAGATGGTTCCCAAGTTCCAGTGTTATGAAAAGCAGTAATTTTGAGTGGTCAGCTTCCTGGAAATCATTTTATAAAACCTCAGTCATGCCACTAAACATAATTCTGATGAAAGCTTAATTCCAGACACATAGCAATCCCCCAAAAAGAACAGCACATTTTTACGAGTTTAGAAAAGCTCCTTTTTGGATTACAATTCCCAAGGCAAATCTGGGAGGCCAAAAAGTAAAGTTTGAAAGCTTTGCTCTATATAGAGAGCAAATATCCCCTTCTCTGCAGGTGCGAATAGTGGTCCTTTCTTCCAGGTACACTCCACCTACCGTGACAATGAATCGTTTGCTAATCTATATAAATAAAAATGTAATGTTCGTATGTGAGATTAACATAACTCAAAAACCACTGGACGAATTGACACCAAATTTGGACACAAGACACCTATCAGGCCAACAAGTGACCACCACTCATAAAAACCCTTAAAAATATAGCGGAAGACACTTTCTTCCCCAAAAATTACATTACACCGCATGCGCAAAACCACATATGTACACAAACACACATATATACACATATACACAAATATACACACACACATATATGCATATGTATACACACACACAAAACATATACATAGATTGGGCCACAGCAATGCGTGGCAGGGGACGGCTAGTCTTTTCTTGTTGTTCATTCGTTCAGTCATTTCCGACTCTTCGTGACTTCATGGACCAGTCCAAGCCAGAGCTCCCTGTCGGCCGTCACCACCCCCAGCTCCTTCAATGTAAAGCCAGTCACTTATTTATATTTATTTATATTTATATTTATTTATATTTATTTATATTTATTTATGTTTATATTTATTTATTTATATAGACAGCTAGTCTATATAAATAAAAATGTAATTTTTGTTTGTGGGATCAACATAACTCAAAAACCACTGGATGAATTGGCACCAAATTTGGACACAATATACCTATCAGGCCAACAAGTGACCATCACCTATAAAAACAATGAGAAACACAGCAGAAGGGACTTAAAAGGCCAAAAAACAAAAACACATTACAACGCATGCACAAAACCACATATATACACAAACACACATATATACACATATACACAATATATACACACATGTGCATACACAAAGCACATATACACAGACTGGGCCACAGTAACACATGGCAGGGGACAGCTAGTAGCTTCATAAAACTGCTTTGCCGCTCACTAGCAAAAACAAAATCTTAGATTTGGAAAGGGACCCCCAAGGGCCATCTAGTCCAACCCCTTGCCATGCAGGAATATAAAACTAAAGCATTCATTAAAGTGTCCTTATCTGCAGGTAGGTCGTCTCAAACACGGCATCCATCAAGCCAAGGATTTTAATAGTGGATTCGAACTATTCATAGCTCACCTGGAAGATGTCGTTGGCACATTTTCTACACAGGTTGTGCTGACAAGGAAGGATGACCACTGGCTTAGTGAACATTTCCAAGCAAATGGGGCATATAAGCTGTCTCTCCAGGCTATCCATCGTGGGGCAATCTCTGGGGCAGGAGCTGTATTCCATGTGGGTCGACATGGCAATCGAACAGACTGCTGCTCTTCTGGATGCAGCTCACTGTGTGCCCTTGCCATAGTCACAAAATGTGTGTGTGCAGGGGGCGGATGAACAAGTGTGGAAGGAATAGCTCATCATCATAACCATCATCTCAATGCAAGAGGCAGCTGTCTGCCCCGTTTCCCAGGAGAGGAGCCTTGGCTCTTTTTGAAAACCCAAAGAATGCAACTGCGGAGGCTATCTCTCGCTCCCACCGTCTTGGGAAGAGAACGGTTTGAGGTTGCAACCGTCTCCTATTTCTGCTTCAATCCATAGAGCTATAAGTTAAAATCGCAATCTGGGTATTGGGGATAAACAAGATGTCAAATAAAGCAGAAGCGGAGGTTTCCTTCCAAATTCAGTATACACATTTCAAAATCCAAAGCTGGAATCTTAGAAGTAACTCCTGTGTTCATTTACTGGAAATACTCACAGGCCCAACTGCGGCCAGTTGTTTCAACGAAAGTTATTAACATCTCAAATGTGTGCCATTTCCTCTCATCTTTAAACTTTTGTGCCCCTTGGGCCTCCTCCCTATTCCAAACAATCCAAAACCCCAAATACTGAGAAGAAAATATAGTCTTATATGTAGAGCAACATGTACTTTGCACGTGGAAAGTTAACAGTGCCAATTCTGCTTTGAGTCTCTTTGTGGAGGGTATAAATAAACATAACTCCAGGTGAAAGGATCAGGTGGCACATGATGGGAAGGGTCTTTCTCTTGAAATCTTGGAGCAGACTGTTAGTCAGAATTGGCAATGTGGGTTGAGTTGGGTAACTTGTCCTGCTTGAATGTAAGTTTTTATGATTCATTCAAGTTAAAGAGTTAGATGCCGCCTTTTAAGAGACAGCCTCTTATATTGTGATCATATGCCAAACTTTAATAGGTTAATGTCAGCTTATTGTGGTCTGTTTTCCCCGTAACCTCACTATCCAAACAAATGGTTGCTACTTTTGGTGAATACAAATGTGCTGTCGCACGCTGGGCCTGTGCATAAGACTGTAGACAGGACATAAATTCCGTGTGCCCAACGGGACGCCGGGGCTGCCTCAGATTAAAGGCTCTTGGATTTCCCTAAAACAGAGTCTTTAGATTGCTTAAAGGTTCAACAATGTTCTTTATTGATGAAAACAAACAGGTACTTTAAAGCTTTCTTAACAGTCTATTGGCTCTCTCTCAATCTTGTCCACAGGGAACAGGCACTATCTTCATAAACTGTAACTAATGGGGAAATCCTTAACTTCTAATCTGGGCAGTCTGTCTTTGCCTCTGTTGGCGTGGAGCCCCTACACCCGGTACCAACTACTTCTGGCTTCCGCGAGTGACCCTTACTAAGCAGAGCTTTGTAGACCTCCAGGGGAAAAGGAGTTCAGTGATGGTTGACTGAAGTCCCCCCACAAAGGAGCTGTAAGGCTGTATGATCCTCGGCCAAGCTGTGGGCTGTATAACCCCGGCCAAGCTGTAGAAGACGAAGCTTTCTACAGGAGCTCTTGGTATTATGTCCTGCACGAAAGGCTTCTCTGTGTGGACTGAACCCAAACTGGCTCCTTTTCCCTCCAAAACCCAAAAAGGGGGGCGGGACCAGGGAACCTAACTATAATTGACAGGTGGCTTGCCCTATGATTGCAGCCAAAAGAAGCCACCTATCTGCAGAGTCCCTGAAACTTAGGACTATAACAAACATTAAATGCAAAGCAAACAAAATTGGAGCTCCTGGTGCAGTTGTACCTGCACAACAAATGACTCAGGAAAGCGGACAATAAAGGGAGATTGTGCCCTCTTTCTCACAAATACTAATTTGTGAATGTAAGGGCACAGAAAAATATTTTCAGTAAAGGCAGATTGGTGCCCTTTCTCCAATACTCTTTCTGAATGCTGTCTTCTCACCCTCCCGATTTGTTCCTGTTCTCACCTGTCATGTCACAGAATACAGATACATTATTGAGTGTTTATGGCACATACATTCCAATACTGTTTGATTCCAAGCTCCATCAACAGGAATGGTAGCCCAACGCCAACCAGAGGGCTGTTGGTTCCTTGCCTTGGCACATAGCATTTCAAACAAAGAAACAAAAATATAATCTTTGTCAAAGAAGATATGTCAAGAAATTCTGGCAGTTGTAGCCTCCAAAGTAAACTTACCTGAGTTTTTGACCAAACTAAGGGCAGTCTGGAAACAGGTGGTTAGAGACATGCTTTCCAGGGATATGTAACAAGAGGTAAGCAGCATGCAAAACAATGAGGAAGTACTCCATCCATGTCACAAGTGGATGGTGAAGCGACAGCTCCCCCGGTGGCCGGAATTCAAAGAATACTCTCATTAAGCTGAAAAGTTAAATTGCCTCTGTGTGTCTATATATGTTGTGCAGCTATGGCATTGAATATTTCCCATGTATATGTGCATTGTGATCTGCCCTGAGTCCCCTGCGGGGTGAGAAGGGCGGAATATACTGTAAACAAACAAACAAACAAACAAATAACAAGAGTTGATGGAAGTGTACCAACTACAACTCATTTCAAAATTTTAAAAGTATGTTAAGTAATTGGTTGCATATCTATTTTTATAGAAATTTAGTTTTCTTTTTAAGACATTTTAATTGTGTATGTGTGTTCTAGCAAATTAAGTAGCCTGATGACTCCAGTAGCCAGTGATCACAGAATCATAGAACTGGAAGAGACTTTGTGGGCCATCCAGTACAAGCCCTTGCCAAGAAGCAGGAAAATCCCATTGCCCTCACATGGCCATCATGTCTCCTCTCAGTCTTCTCTTTTGCAGGCTAAACATGCCTAGCTCTTTTTCACACATCCTGCTGTCGAGCCAGGCATCATCCCCCATTCTGTATCTTGGCATTTCATTTTTAATGCCTAAGTGGAGTCTCTTGCATTTGTCCCTGTTGAGCTTCATTGTGTTAGTTTTGAGCAATCATCTCTCTAATCTGTTAAGATCGTTTTGAATTCTGCTCCTGTTTTCTGGAGTATTGGCTCTCCCTCCCAATTTGGTGTTCTCTGCAAACTTGATGATCATGCCTTCTAACCCTTAGAATGAATGCCTTGTGTTGCCATTTTACTACAGTAAATTTGTTTTAACTAATGAATACAGTACAACACCCATATCCATAGGAGATACTTTCCTAGGCTTTCTATGGAAACATGAAACTGCAAGGGGCTGGGCTGGACTGGATGGCCCTCCTCCAACTCTATGAGATAATAATGAAATCTATCGAAGGGTGCAATTTCCAATGCAAGTTGATCACCGAGCCATGCTAGAGGACTTTAAAAATGTCTAGAAAGGACATCTCTCTAGCATTTCTAGGTCCACCTAGGTTCCTGTATGGTCAAATTGTGGTGGAAGCATAGCACAGAAATACACTGCAGGATGTAGAAAATGTCTAGAAAGTACTTCTCTAGTATTTCTAGTTCTCCAGGGTGAGTCTATGGCCAACTTCTGGTGGAAGCATACCATAGGAACATGCAGAAGCACCAGAAAATGCTTTGGGAGAATGTATTTTTTCAGATGTAGATAAAATAAACCAGAAAATACCTATTAGTGCACAGAGGGGTACTGTATACATTTCCCATTTACAAACCAGTCAGAGCTTGAGTCAGATGGTACAGGACTATTCAGACGCAAAGGCTTGATGTACCAATTCCACAGCTCCTTCAATTCCCTTCAGTCAGTGATGAGATCTTCTTGGAATCAAATCCTAATAACCTTAAGCAACTATATATGGTATCAGTGTGTTCTGCCTAGGACTGCCAAGTACACTATAAGATGGGGTCTTGCATCTTTAATAGTTGCATAGAAGACAGTACTTCATGAAGAACATTCCGAAATTTACACAACCATTAAATGTACAAGATCCTGTATTTCATCTGGCAGCTATGATGCAAGACACATGCTTTCGATTATGTTTGCATAGAAATCAGGATGTGCAAACTTCCCCCAGAGAAATTGTGCCAGTTTTCTGGAAATGTCTGGATTCCCTCAAAATTCCAAAGATGGTGTGTTGTCCAAAGGATGAAATCCTCTTTCAGTTATCCAGGTATTGTTGTATATCAGCCTGTTCAGCCTGTGATTGTGTCTAATGCTCATGTTGATATTCATGATGGGAATGGGGATGATGATCTGGTTCCTGCACCAGGATCTGTTGGATTTGGGGATGAGGGGTTGCCTGAGCCTGATTCGTACTCAGAAGAGAGGCCTGTGCTGCTGCAAGAGGATTCTCAAGGTCACATGCTTGGGAAAGACCTTTCCCCACTGTTCCCTGAGCAGCTATCTGAGAATGAAGCTGATTTTGATTTACCAGGTGCAGGAGTTAACGATGAGAGTGAGACCTTGAACAGAAAGAGAGGCAATTAAGGTGGTCAACTTGGATCCAACAGAAGAAAGGTAACAAAACGAAACTAAAAAAAGAATATGTTCCTTGCAGTTTTGGAAGTCAGGGAAGGGTTTATAATTATTTGCAGGATATAGTTGTTTCAGCTGAGGCAACATTGAGATAATGCTAAGATTAAGTTTCCTTTGCTCTGAATTTCCTGTGTTGCTTATGGATTCAAGTGTCTCGTTTCATGAACTTTTATTGACTCTTTTTTTTTTCATGCTTTCCTTTGTACCTGATGGACTAAATAGGATTTTGAGCTTTTACTGTTGATTAGTTTTTACTGCTTTGGCTACATATGTTTTTCAATAAACTACTTGCTGAAATGGTATTTTTTAAAAAATCAGCAAGCAGTTTATTGAAGAATATGTGTAAGCAAAGCAGTTCAAATGGTAAAAACAGATACAAGTTGGAAATGGTATTTAAGGCCAGAGGTGAACCTGCTCTGGAGTATGACAGGTATCTTTTCAAATTCCTCAGCAGATTCACAGTTACAGGCATTGGTATACAGCTGCTGAATTTCATCCTTGACGATGCGGGGAGCTTTGGTTGAAATCACAAACGTATAAATATAAATATAAATCTTGAAAACAGAGAAGAAAAAAACCAATTTTTTTTGCCTTGAAAACATTTATTTTACAACCTTGGTTTACTGATAATTTAGCAGTCTTTATTTTTTTAATTTTTAAGTTCCTATTCAGACATACAA